TCCACCCTGTGAGCAGGACTCGATTTCTTCACGTGTGGTTTACAAGAAGTTTGGAATGACTGATCAGATTTGGTACGCTAGTCCAATCTGGGAACATTCCGCCCTAATCATTTGATATGCTCCGAGTACGCAGCTGTCATTCATGTCGTTTATTTTCTTTGGCAGTCATTACGTATATCAGGAATCTTTTAATTGGATTGAAAGCATCTTAACGGAAGAAATCTGGCTGAGAATACTACAGTACGCTCTATCACTTGACAGCTTTCTTGCCCGATAATAGTACACCACAACAAATGGTTCTTGGCTTTGGGAGAAAGTGCCCCCTCCCGGGTCCATTTTCAAGATCCAGCACTCCATTGCAACAATGCAACTTGGATGTGACTTATGCTCCACTATAGATACCTCTGGAGTCCGCCATTCACTGTGGACTCTGTATGCTCGTTAGAACGTGAAATGGAATATCTCAATGAGGACTGACTTGGTCCTTCTCTTTTGAGTCCTGGCTTCTTATCACAGCCTGTTTTGTTGCAGAATGTTCCCGTCGTGGATTGTTTGGTAACCTTGGGCGGGTCACATATCTGGCCGGCTTCCACTGCTTCTCCACATGGATCTCCCATCAGTGTAGCCGTGTAGTGACCACAATTGTAGACGCGAACCACAACATGACACAAAATGAATGTTGATAGAGTTGCAGTGATAGGAGAAATATTATGGGTATTAATTGAAAGTTCTCAGAAGGACTTGAAGTGAGAGACGATCGAAAGTACTGATTCAGGTGGGCAGAAAATTTGAATCGAAGACAGAAGAGCACAGTTTAAGTACGGAAGATAAGTTTTTGATATGCTTAGGAAAATGCTGTGGTATCATGGAGCTATCTTTATATTGAGCTGGTCCGACTTTTATCACCTTTGGACCGCTTGGACCTCCACTACACTGTTGTTCGTAGATGCAAAAAGGCTTTCGGCGATTCGACCTATGGTGCCCACCGGCAATTTGCTGCACAAGCGAGGTCAAGCCGTAACGCCAACGAAAGATGCATGAGGCATTTTCATCATTAGGTCTCGTCTTGGGGATATCAGGAATATCCGGCTGATCAAAACTCAGGTTCAGACCCGTTCTTTGTTTCGTTCCTCTTTTGTTTCGTTCCTCTTTTGTTTCGTTCCTCTTTTGTTTCGTTCCTCTTTTGTTTCGTTCCTCTTTTGTTTCGTTCCTCTTTTGTTTCGTTCCTCTTTTGTTTCGTTCCTCTTTTGTTTCGTTCCTCTTTTGTTTCGCACCTTTCTGTTTCGCCCGATCCTGTTCTAACAGGTCTGTTTTGTCTTCTCTCCGTATATCTAAAGCGACCGACGCATAAAAGTGCTCACAAATATCAATTTGGACCCTTGTTTACAACTGATTTGGATTGCAAGGTCTAGCATGGCAGTTGGTGAGAATCATATCGAGCCAAGGAAATCTTGCTTAACTTTGTAAATGTGGAATCTAGATCTACGAATCTAAATTTATCACATTCTATAACGAAGACGTGGTCTACATAAAATAAGTAATCATAGGCTCTCAGCTACTGTATTTGGCCTGTTTGCTAAACCACTGTCTAACCGCAGTATTCAAGTGCGGTTTCTGAACGTGGCCCAACCGATCGCAATTAAGAAATTCCAAACCTTAACCGCGTTTTCGTGGTTCCCTAAAGGCACCGCAGTGGTTTGACCGCGGTCGGTGCCGAGCTCTAATTCTGAAGTATTTTCTGAAATATTATCTAAAATTTGTTTTCTGTCGAAACATTTTGCTTCCTTATCAAGTTTATATGAATGGAGCCACTTGTGCTATGGTCTTATTGACTTGCTACTAAACCTACCTGCCGCTTTCCAATTGCGATAGAATGTTTTGATTATCTTGGATGTCATAGTCACGTGAGGAGGGGATTTCTGCCCCACCACGAAAAGTCAGCGGCCGTGTGCCAACAAGGCGACACGTTGATGGAGGTTGGGCATTCACAGCTACTCCCGAGAACCCGTTCGAGCCGCTTATATTCTGGATCTACTCATCATATCTACTCCCACAATCTTGTTCAATCCGTCGTTTTTCAATCTCATCGAACGCCTGGCGCAGTGCGGAACCTTTAACACGAATCCCGACAGTCGAAGTTTTTCCAGGGGTTGGTTGAATCGCCCAAGACATCCATGATGACGACAAATGAACATTATTCGAGAATACAGCTGGATACAGACGGGGATGAAGAGATCTTGGGAAAAGCCAAAGAGGTCTGCTACCCTTTTTTCTTTGTTGGAAGACATTTGAAACTAATAGGAGCGGCATCCAGCTAGACGGGCAGCTCCAAGTATCTCTATTCGAAGTCGACCAAACTTGGACATCTTATACGCTGAAAATGATACCTGGCCATCTGACTAATCGTCTTATCGTTTTTCGCCCACATCTATCACGGGACCTTCTTGGATGTATTCGGGTGTACCAAGCTGGGACCACTGCGAAACTTTGGGACGTATATGATTCGAGGGACACATTCATAGGCAAAGTTCCAAAAGATTGTGCAATCGAAGCAATGGTGGTTGATGTGAAATTTATCAAGCAGAGGGAGAGCCAGAGTTGAACATCTCAGGCAAGTCATGCTCTGCAGAACTAGAAGGAAAGCCGGCGTTGAATATCTCAGTTAAGTCGTGCTTTCCACCATTCGCCACTGCTTCGGACCGCGAAATTGACAGCACCAGTGATGCAACACGGTCTTGCTGTGTGGGAATCGTGAGGATTGCCGAGTGTCCTTGGGAATGCTCAGATCTTTTGTGTAGCTCAACGAAGGTATCCAAAATGTTTGAAGGCACGTCGAAAGCTACCTCGATTCCTCTTTGTCCTCCCATTTGTGATTCGGTTCTGTTGTACGTAGTTGCCGAGCCTCCGCTATAAGCGGACTCATAATGGAAGCGAGCACCATTTTGTTGTTCGGCAATGAGTCGATCGTTTGAGACACGATGGTTTATGGTTTGGTCGGCCTTTGAAACAACTACTTTCAAGGTCAGTATCTTGTTTTGCCATGTATCTGGGTTGGCTTCCATACAAGAAGTCAAGGGGATCAGTGCATCCGGACTTGTTTTCGCCGAAGAAATATCTCCCGCGTCTAATTGTTGTTGCAGTTGGGGTTCATAATGCAGAGGTACCTGTTTGTTTGGCAAAGCATGTCCCGGACAAGGAGAAGACTCTGCCCAGAATTGGGATGCTTTCTCCTCGAGTGATTTTGGAAAATTCGTCCTACATGACCATTCTTGCAGCCCGTGATAGAACCCATGATAAGTTATTTTGGGCAAACTCGAGATGGAGTATCTGAGCATGTAAAGTAGAACTGTCTCGGAACCAGCTGTTTTCTTGACCTTAAAGGCAATTTTGCGCGCATGCATTCGAACATGTGTGCGGGTTCTGGATCTCTTGACTGGACCGTCTTCTTTGAGAAGAGCGTTCCATGCAAGCAATTGTCGCTCCTGCCGGCCGCTTAAAGGGTTGGGATCTTGGTCCTCGAAGAGAAGAATCAGATCTTCAAGACTCTTGAGAAATCTCGTTACACTTTCTGGAGAATCCATGGCAAGACAATGTGAAAGACAATTGGGGAGGGAACAAAAGGGAAACGAAAGGGAATCAAAACGGAACAGAAGGGAATCAAAACGGAACAGAAGGGAATCAAAACGGAACAGAAGGGAATCAAAACGGAACAGAAGGGAAACAAAACGGAACAGAAGGGAACAAAAGGGGGAAAATGGGGCATAACAGAAATAGGAGACGGACAGAGACAGGTTTTGTGATTTTCTTTCCCGTTCTTGTTCCGTCCTCTTTTTACTCTGTGTTCCGTTCCGTTCCGTTCTATCCGATTCCAACTTAGCATCGCATTGAAGGGATATGATTTTGGATCTAATTAAACATGAAAATACAAACAACAAGGTGGCCAAATTCACATTGAGCGCGAATAGTCGATTAGAAGATATCATTCGTGATCACAATGAAAATCCGCTTCAGTGGCGGATAAAGGATTTGGGAGATCATGAGAAAGCAATGCATTCTAGGCCGAGTAAACTTGCCAAACTTTGCTTTGACCTCCTTCAAAAAGGAAATCTATCTGATCAGCCTCATGCAGGAAACGAAACCCACACGGCAACAACCCCTGAGTTTGGGGAACCATGGCCAATGGTTCCGATCCTGGTACTATACAGGATATTGATACGATTCATGGGATTTATAATATTGTATATTACTAACAGCCTCGATGCTTTAGATAAAGCAATGCGTTTTTCAGCTGCTTCTACGAGGATCTTGTGAAGTCTAAAGCTTTGTGTCTCCATCAAGAAAGCAATGTACCGTGTGGCGTGAGATCCTATGGGCTTCTTCACCACACTTTCTGTGTGGCTTTCTACCCAATCTAACTTCTCGAACCACCATCGGAATACCTCTGACGATTCTTTCTGGGGAACTCATCCATCTCGAGAGAATACACACGAAGAAGAGGCAGGGCCGGCAGTGAACACTTTCGAAGTGCCTACATACCCTCTTTCACTAGTGTGCAGGGCACCTTCAATCATTGAGACACAGCCTGTGCCTGTCGGCCCGTGCTATCATTCAACTCGCCGTTCTCTAGAGTTGATATCTTACAACCGTACACCACCTGTTCCAGAAGAACCGCCATTCGATGATACCTGGGCGAAATGGCTTCCCATTCTCTGCAAAAGTAAGCCTCTAACTTTGGCCACTACCAATTTACTCTGCTAAGCGGACAGGCTGATAAATTCAAACACACGTCCTGCAAATGCGCCTCGTATTGGAATTTTGATGGAGTACAAAGGGGAGGTGAAGATTTACCCAGATTTTCGAAAGTGCCTGCTTTTTGTTGCCAAGATGGATAATGGGACTATTGAAACCGTGTATATTGAGCCGCGTGAAGTCTTGGAAGGGGCCAAATCATCGGACTCGAGAAATCGGGATCGAACCCGCCAGGCCAGGCACATGTTGTCGCCTAAGGAGTGGTTTGCCTTAGAATATCGATATACGCGGAAGCGATAGAACTGTACGCTAGAGGCAATTTAGAATTAAAAGCCAAAAAATTGGATCATCGAGGTTCTCTCTAGTTCCAGAGCTAATCACCACTGCACCTAAGTCCAGATTCTGGCAGTCTGCTTGATTCTCTAAGTTGCTTCTCCACCGCTCATTCTCAGTGCTGCAAGATGCCGTGTTCTAATCAAGACCAAGGAAGCCATGGAGAAGGTCAACGGTGGCGGGAAATAGGAAATGCAGAGGGCTTCACCTTTCTGTCATGCAGCTGATCTAAAATGGAATGCCAAAGGAATTTCTTGGACATTCGGTATGCGAGGGTGCAAGAGAAACTGCGATCTAGGACTATTTTGCTACCTCTAGCTCTTAGTGTTCGGCTAATCGACCAACAATTTCCATCCCCGAGGATGCGTTGGCAACACTGTGCTTTATTATAAAAGAGGTTGTCGTCGTATTTTGAGACTCAGTTCCATTTCACTGTTTACGTTCACTCGGACTCAAGATGTCTGAGGCGGAAAGGCAGCTCGAAATTTTGCTACAAGCTCTGGTGAAATCGGATTTGAACTATATCTGTCCTCGATGTTACCAGCTCTTTTCAGACATCATTGCATGTTATCGTCATTGTCGAGAGGCAGGAGAAGGCAACAAGGCTAGAGAAGGCAACAAGGCCAGAGAAGGCGACAAGGCCAGAGAAGGCGACAGAGCAGATGATATTCACAAGGGGCTTGGTTTGATCACGAAAAAAGACTTCCCGGAATTCCTTAGATGCTATCGGGTGGCTATTGGGTTCTCAATTGCTGACTGTGATCTTCCATTGGGAGGCGGCCCCGGACGGCGCTCATATGACAAGTGCTTTGCAGTTGAATTTGTGCTTGAAAAGTGTCGTGAGTCTATGATTGCGAGAAAAAAGCTTCAAGGTTTCTCACTAATATTGGGCACAGTCCCTAGTAGAGACACAATGGACGCAATGTGGCTGGCCGTGATCAAAATCTAGGTGAGATTTCACCGAGTGAGGCCCCGATGGTAAGTCGCAAAAAGCGCTTCTCGACTAATGAGAATCTAATACCGCTATCTTGCACAGTGGGGACACATCTCAAGGCTTTCCATGGGTTAGGGATAGAGCGGCAATATTCTTTTGTCGCCATTTGCCAAGCGTTTCCCAAGAAACTACAGAGCTCAATTAGATCAAGCAGGCAGACAGACAGTCGAAGTGAGCCATTGGGCGATTCCATCAGCCACGGTAGCAAGCTACTATCTGAGTGTACTGGTTCATACACCCTGACGCAAAGCATCCCCAAAAAGTAAAGAGCGAGAGACGCAAGAGCTAGCACACTAGTACTTGCGAAATGAACTAAAAAGATTAACAAAAAAACGAGATTTCAACTCTGGCTTAGTATTAGTCCCCACCAGGGGAGACAATGCATACTGGATTGGAAAGTGGAGCACATCTAGTCAAAGGAGGGCAGCCCCCTCGAATGACGAATGCTTTTGTGGCACCAAATGGTTGCGGAAGCGCAGCCAGTGCGTCAAAGACGCCGGTCATTGTATATCAGTCCAAGCGGCCATTGCTCAATCCAAGTTCGGTCAGCTTTCATCCTAACACAGCTCTCTAATTCATATCGAAGTCGGACAGCCATCCTGTTCTTATTTCTCCCTGGTCTCTCTCATGAAGATGGACACCCACTGTCCTCCATCATGCTCTACCGTTCTTACAACCCACCATCCTCACTGGGATATCCAAGAAGATGCCAGTCATCAAGCCATGCATGGTACACAGCCTTTCAGACCTTGGAAATATCCTCGACTATCGTCCAACCTTACCGAGCTCTCTTATGGATACAAATCCGAGCCACCTCGGACCCAGGGCAGACTTGAAAGGGCTTCCGTTTTATCTCGAGTGGCAGCAATTCAACTTTGCCGACGGGACGTGGAAGTACGTGATTTGATTTACCCTGCTTTGAACCATAATTATAGACAGATGGGATCCCGAGCACATCGCGCTTATGGAGATGAAAGGCCACAAGCTTTTTCTTAAAACGGGGTATAATCACAAACTACTCGAGCTGCCCTGTGTGGCCAAACGTTTAAGTGAAAACCCAGCTATTGGGTGGCCAAGGGTGATTTTCCAGACCAAGTAGGTCCTGAATCCATTACCCTACATGTACACAATTAATCATAGATTCACCAGTTTCAGATGCGTGTAAGTTTGCACCCCCTACCAACTTGGCCCTTTATTCACAAGGAGAAGAGCATTTTCGATTACAGGAGCAACAATCACTTGTGATGAGCCACCAGTTACACTTCAAGCCAATTTTCCGAGTTTCATTCCAGGTTTTCTCTCAACTTTGAATCCAATCTCATGCACTACCTTGGCAGCGTCAAATCTCACCGAAGGCCTTAGGAATTGCGTTCCAAAAGACCGCGAAGCCTTTGGAAAGTAGTTTACATGAAAACAGTATGTCAACCAGAGAATTCCAAGGACAATATTGATACAGGATACAAAGAGCTAGCCAACGGCGCCAAATGGAACCATGAAGTCGTAGCAAATCAGGCCGTACGCAAACTCTTTGGCCGAGTGCGCTCGCGAACACGACTTTCACCCCCCAGCACACTGAAAGAGCTCTATCAAGCTGGCTTCAACAGCCTCAATGCAAAGATGTGTCGAGACCTTCTGGGCAAGTGGATCATTATTATGGGAAAGAAGAAAGGGTCGCCATACGTGAAGAAACCAAGCTGGTGGCCCGATAAAGTCGAATACCAGAGTGCTCGAATGCTGTCTGGCCTTGGTATGTGCTCCCGCAGCTTGATACTTACACTCATTGACACTCCATAGAGATCAAAACAGTCCTCTTCTACATGTTCTACAGTAAACAAGGCCGTGTTCTCTTTGGGAGATTCTACGCCGCTCGGAATGACGTCGATATCACCGAAAAAGACAAAGAGACTCTAGCATGGACTCTCTGCATTCGAAGTGTCTATTAAACGGATATCAGGCTTCGTGAGTACCGATTGACTTTGGGTTTCTGCTGTAAGCCACCTGACAGCATATAGGGCTGCCTGTTGTGATATGAGGCTGGTGCAGATCAGGAACCAAGCCGCACCGTCGGAATTCACTCCGAAGTGTCTATACAGACGACCAAGTTGATTGGAAACCAACTTGGCTCAACGTTGTATGTATAGGCACATGTATCCCTCTAAAATAATAAGTCAATTCATACCTCTGAACAACAACACTGCCTAGGGATAACTCGGTGTCTCAATATGCGCTTTGAACATCCGAAACCGAAGTTCTGGCGCATGCAATATCTCGCAATCTGTCTTGAAAAACTTTTGCTAATCAATTGCCCCTGCATTTTGAAGATGTTATAAATCTTAATTAAGAAATGGAATCGAGCTGAAACTGTGGATCTATATGAGTAATCCAACAGATATTTGTGTGAAGTCCGAAACGTACCAGAGTTATGAAGACAGTCTTCTTGGTGGCAAGTAGCATGTCATGAACAAATTTACTCTTCTAAGAGGAAAGACTGATCTGCATTACCAACCAAATTTCATAGTAAAGGACACCTAGAGTCTCCAAATATCCCGTTACGGACACCTCAATGATGATCCAGAGAGCCCTGCTCATACCGGTAGTCATTGCAGAAGAGCGGACTGAACCTCCTTTATTTACATCTCCGTTACGCAATTTGCTGTTGTCGGCCATGAAGCCCGTTTTGGCTAGTTCCTTCGCCATTGGTCACGTTGACCCAGGCTGCCAAGGGACCAGTGAAACAATCGCCCACGGCTGAGCGGAGAGCATTGCAATCACTTGTCGGGCAAAGCGGATCAAGAGTTTATTTATGTTTAAAGCTTTGCGTTTTGCCGAATATTGGTACGGATAAATCCTAACTGCAAGTAATATGTGTACCAAAGCCATCGTTGTTGCTGCGAGTTTGTGTGATTGCATGATCGTGCGCATGAACTTCTGTGTGCCAATTTGACGTACTTGCTGAGCAAACAAAGGTATAGATGTGGTGGCTTGGAGGCGTTTCTGGGGCAACGGACACCTCTTAAAAGGTAAGTGCTTTACTGGGAGAATAGAAGATAGCCAGTTTGATGCAATTGGGGACTGAATCAATATGGAGATGGAAGACCAGAATGGAAACTGACTATTGAAGCAACAGTGTCGTTTTAAGTTGTGGCAGCAAATATAGAACAGGGCTCAGGTGAGCTCTTTCAGTCTGGAAGAATAAGAGTGGAGTGACTTCTTGTAAATTGCTGCAACGACCACACTACAATCTG